TTATCTTCCAGGAAGGGGCCCGAATGCCTGGCTGAGCCCTGTGGGGTGTGCCCTTTTCACTCTGCTGGTCTCCGTCCCCCTGAGGTCACACCTGGGACAGAGGATTCCATTTGTCCAGCATTTGATGTCCCTGGCTGTGGTGGAGGCGGTGCGGTCCATTCCAGAGTATGAGGTAAGCGCAGCTTCTCTGTCCCCCCGCCTTCCCGTGAAGCCTCCAGCTCGGCCTTCTGCGCTTGTGGCAACATGTGCGTATTTGGCTTGTCACAAAGCCTGTCACCAAAGTCCACGGGGTACCATTTAGGGTGCGTAGTTCTGGCCCCGGCCCTGGTCTGGGGATAGAGTGTTTGGCTGACATGCTTGCCTTTACAGTGTTGCTTGTGGGCGATTGCGTCCACGGAACATTTCCCAGAATCCCTCGGGGCTGTTTATCAGGTTTCTCAGGGTCCTGGTAAAAACAAGCTTTTCTTCTTTTAATGAAAACGTTGTATCAGGGCTGAACGGACGCTCTCTGCATTTTCAGGATTTTTTTTTTTTAAGGCTGTTTTGTGGACCGAAATGACCTCTCCCCACCTCCCCTCACCCTCATCTCCACTCAGCGGAGCTGCTCTTTGTCTGTGGTTGATGGAGTTCAAGGCCAGGCGTGCTGGCCTCCTACCACTGCCTGACTTGGACCCCACCCCCGGGACCAGCCTCGTTGTTAGTCACTTTGCTGCCATAGAACACCGCGACCGAGGCCACTTCCGGAAGAAACCGTTTATTCCGGCACACGGTTTCAGGGAGATGAGAATTCATCATGGCAGGGAGGCATGGCAGCGGAAACAGGAAGCTGAGCGCTCATCTCCTCAGCCACAAGCAGGAAGTAGAAAGGGCAAACAGGAAGTAGGCAAGGCTCTTTACCTCGCAGCCCCTAGTGACAGACATCCTCCAGCAAGCCTGCAGTCTGTGGGTGGCGCTCCTCCTCAGACTACTGTGGTGTCTTGTTACAGAGACAGGAGAAAGAGGGATGGATTCGGTGACAGGAGCCTTTCCTCCATACCTGTCTCCACTTCCCTGTGCACCCGAAACATTGCGGTGGCCGCTTCATGTGGCCACGAAGAGGGGGTGCTCCCGGCCTCGCTCCCACCGTCAGCTCTTATATCAGGTCTTTGTGTTTGTTTTTAAAGGCTGTACTGGTTCCTTAAGTGAGAATCGAGAAACAGCGTTCAGTGTGTCTGCACCTTCTGCATCCCCCGTTTCCTCCCATGCGGCCAGTGTCTTTGCTGTGCCACTGATGCTGCTGATTCTGAGGTCCACCTTCACCTCACGGGGTGAGGGCACTGACCAGTGTGGGTGTCCACTCCCAGGCACCCCACATCATGACGTGTGATGAGTTCTGGGCCCGTCAGAGCATCACAGACCTTCAAGGCGCCTGAGCTGTGCCCTTGATCTCATAGGAGGTGCTGAGAATGTCACCTTTTGTGGTAGGACCAGGCACATTTAACCCTCGAGGGAAGATAGTCGTCTTCAGCAAGTCCGACTCTGAGGCTAGAACGCAACCTGAGACTGATGCCCCTGGTCAGGGCTTTGACTTCTGCCTTGCTGCCTCCCTGGTTTACGGGGCGCCTCCCTGGAGCCCCTGCTGTGTGCAGAGGTGGTGTGGGGCACTGGGCCATGGCCTGGAGGGGGGAGGAAGCTTGCTCATGGGGACAGGTTGTGGGGACAGTTGCCACTGGCGATCTTACCATTCCGTGGTTGTCAGCCTCACCCTCACCTGTATGAGGCCGCTTCCATCTTGAGCGCAGTCATTTTGATTTATTTTACCTTTGCACAGTGCATTTTGATCATGTCCATTCCCCCTAACACACCCCTCTCAGCTTCCTTCTCTCTTACTTTTTTATAATACACTAAGTCCAGTCGAGGACAGACAACCTACCCGTGGCCACGCCCCCAAAGGAAAACGAGTCTCCCTCCTCCGGCATCCATCACTGTGAGAGCTCCCCAACTAGGGTTAGGGTTATGGTGACTCCTTTCCCATACTGGAATTTTGGCTGGTTCAACCTTGCACGGGTCTTTCACAGGCGACCGCAGGAGACAGCGTTTCATGGAAGTCCTCCCCATCCTCTGGCTCTGAGATTCTTTCTGCTCCATCTTACCTGATGTTTCCTGAGCCTAGAGAAAGTAGGGGATTTCTCGTAGTCTATTCAGGACGAAAAACACCTGTGTTCACTTATTCTTAGTGTTTTGGTCAACTGTGAGTTTCTGTATTACGTTAACCACTGCCTTCTACAGAAAGAAATGTCTCTGATCACGGTTGAGAACATCCCAGATCTGTGGGTATAAACATAAATAGTTACGTGGCAGTCTGACAACATGACCGTCTAGTAAGACCATTAGGCTCTTACTGTTTGGTTACAGCCGAGGGTAAGGCAATAGTCCCTGTGGTTTTGGGGCCTTGGGAGCCTCCCTGAGCAGCGACTCACAGGGAGGTGGCCACTGTCCTTCCACGGTCCCTTTATTTGGGTTAATTCTCCCCCACACACACACCCCGTCTCTGTCACTGCTTAGCCCTCCTCCCATGGTGGGGCTCCTAATGTCCCTTTTTCCTGGTTCTGCTGTCCCCGCCTCTCCTGTACCCTCCCCTCTCCACCAGCCACTTGATAAGTTCCTGGCATCCGAGGGTGCTTCGTGTTAACCACACAAAACTGAAGATCCACAGCTGGGGTCCACACACGAGAAAGGACACGCGGTGTTTGTTTTTCTGGGCCTACCTGACCTCCGTGACTGGAGTTGGTTTTGATGTAGCCGAGGTGACCCACAGCTCCTGGGTGGCTGGGCTCCCTCTCTCTCTGGCCTCCGAAGGGGTGACGGCCTGTCTGAGGTGGGTGTCACTGTCAGCGTGCACACCAGGGTCGATTTCTGCACCCTGACTCAGTGTCACTGGAATGTGGCCTCCTTCCCGGTCCCAGCTGCCTGCTTCTCTCTCTCTGGCTTCTCTCCCTGCACTGGCCGGCCCGGCTGGACTCCCACAGCCCCCCCCCCCCACTTCCCTCGGTGTGGTAGTAAAGTCCCTCCTCCTTCCCTGGGAGCTGAAGTTCCTTTCCCGACATTCCTTCCTCTAGGTGAAAGCACAGTCTTAGGTTTCATTGAGAGAGAGTCTTGTGTACCCTGTTCCCTCACCCATGAGTTCCCAGAAATCCAAGACAGAATTTGTTTTACTTAGGTCTGTGTGGGCCATAGACCTTCACATATAAGAAAGTCACAGGGGTTGTTGGAATGAATGACCAAAGACGGAATGTAACTCAGTTGGTAGAGGCTTGCCCAGCATGCAGAGGCCCTGGGTTCCATTCCCCACACCGGCACATAAACAGAGTGTGGTTGCTCACACCTGAAATCTAGCCCCTGGGAGGTGCAGGCGGGAGAATCAGAACTTCAGAGTCATCCTTGGCTACATAGAGAATTTGAGGACAGCCTGGGCTACATGAAGCCCAGTTTCAAAACCAATCAGTCAGCAGGCCAGCAGGGAAAGGGAAAGCAGTTCCTAGCGTCACTTTCACCGCGGGGCAGATGTCCTTGTTTGCCTGAAGGAGGACCCAGGAGTTGTGTTAGTTGTTCCTGAACAAGAACCCGAAAGTCAGGCCAGGGCTGGAGCACAGGCCAGCTCAGAGGAAGCCACTGCCACTGAGAGATCCTGGGCCAAGCCATGCGAGGTGATGGGGCTTGATCTCACTGCCGTGGCCGTAAGGGGAGCACAGGGGGGAGGAGGGTGAGCACAGGGGGAGGAGGGTGAGCACAGGGGGAGGAGGG